CCCCAAAACCCCAAAACCCCAAAACCCCAAAACCCCTGGGAGTGCAGCAAAAATGGAAATTATCTATCTTCTACCTCGGCTCCTAATATCTGAGTTGCTTCTACTAAACATTCCGATTTGGGGGAGGTACAGCTTCAGGTTCTTCTTGCTAATATCATGATCATATGCCAGTCCTGTATTTGTAGACCGATATAATCCGTTCTTTCTCTGTCTCCCCTGGACTCTTATCTTCCGAGGAGAGGCCTTCCTTGGGCTTGGAGATTTTCGGAACAAATTGTTTGGATCTTTAAGAGATTCATCAATGAAATGCTTCTTATACGATTCAATATAGCCGTGAGACCGCTTGTTCTTTCCACCTGAGACGAAAATCTTTGCTTTACTGAGCTGTATGTTGCTACTGTGGTTTTTGGCATTCTCAGCTCTAGGAGTTAGCATTAGCTTACATATTCTTGTAAATTGAGTTTTTGATGTTCCTAGCTACTGAATATTGATGTCTTAGCTTATTCGTAGACTGTTTTGTATCTTTAAACTACAAGTTATGGAATTCCTTACAGCCTCAGGATATATTATTATAGCTGATACTCTTGGAAGTTTGTTTCTTCCTTCTCTTTCTTGAAGTGTCCTCCTCTTCTTGACAAATATTCATACGAGCATTAGGATGAAACGAAGAGGGAAGATGCTTCCCTGGAGTTGTTACCATGCTCGAGTTTTCAGAATTTTTGAGGGCTACAAATCTGCCTGAATCAACTCCAGAGATCTTAAAATTTGTATATTCATTTTGTTCGCCATATTCGTTGACAGCTTGGGTGTTGACCTTCACGATTTCAATCTTGTTTGCGCTATTTAAGATCGCAGTCAATGTTCACCTTCACTCTGTTTTTCGAAAACAGTGTATGGCCATCATCTTTAGAGAAAATGGAGGAGTCGTTCGGGTGCCCAAGAGTAGTCTTGTCTAGGAAAATATCATAGAAAGACTTACAGAACTTTGTAGTTCAAAGACTGTTTCCAACAGCAATGTTCTTCTTGTCATTGTCTTCAGTCAGGATCTCTCCAAAACCTGACTCGTTGAGCTGAAATCCTTTCTTAGTGGAGTTGAGACCGATACTTTTCTTCGTCATGTTTGGCTCCAAAATGGGTTCCTTCCTGTCCTCATCGTTAAGATCTTCTAGGTATGATTTAGCAGTTGATTTCTTATTTTAAGTTAACCTTAATATTTTGGTTGTCTTCGAAACCCCCAGTACTTCTGCGTTCAAGGGCATTATGTTTAAGCTGTAGCTCCTTGAGTCTCTGTAACTTCTTAAACTTTGCTTCCTTCTGTTCCATCTGCTGCAGCAACTTGTGGCTCTTATATGAAGCATGCACTATAGCATCACTCCTAGTTTTAGAGATCTTCTCAGAGGTCCTATCAATCAAGTTATTTGATTAGAAGAGTGAGGTTGTTCTTCTCTTTGATCTCAGGCACATTGACCTAAAGTTTAGAAGGAATATACGTTATTTTGCAATGATTTCTTTCAGATACATATTTTTAAGGTCTAAGTTATGGACTTTCCCTTCTCCAAGTAAGCCTTCCAAGGTTTGAATAGCATTTCGCACCTTTTTCTGACCTGATTTAGCCATAATGTCATTAGGGAGGAAGGAATACGAGAAGTTAATTGGCCCTTTTTGTTTGAAATTTACTCTACGGTTCGTATCCTCACTGGCACTTGAAAGGAATTTGTGTGAGTTTCTTGACGAATCTTCATTAATTTTATCTATCTGAGGTCTTTTGAAGATGTCACTAGGTCTTTCTTCTGATTTGCTACTTTCTTTGGTGTCTTCAATAGTTGAAATGTTGTTCTTTGAAGTCACATTTGTGCTAATATTTTGGAATAAAACTCGAGGCCGCATCTTTTTACTTGTCTTATTTGTAAAGCCTTTGTCCATCTAAAAGTAAGATATCAGAATAGGATTAAGTGTAGTCTATTTTAGAGTCAAAGATAAGAGACTAGAATAGATAAAAAGTTGCAATAACTACCACAAAATTGATATAACTCTCAATAATAATTACATTTTTCTAACCCAAGCCAACCTACCTCATCTAAACCCCTATTCCAAACCCAAAAATCACCTCTAAAATACTCTCAGAGCACTTCTAATTCTCAATTTGGCCTTACCTCAATACTAATAGGTTTCTTTTCCATTTCTACAGTGTCATAACTATATGGGTCATCTATCATATTTAATAAAACTTTTATTTTCAATAAAATTTTCCTAGGAAGGGGTTTTGGGGTTTTGGGGTTTTGGGG